CAGCTGTCTCTTCCCTGAGTGTTCAGGCAAGGCTGGGTGCCAATACAAAATAAGTACTCACCTAAAACTATATCCAGATGATATCCGGTATCTACCTTGTCCCAGAGTATACATTGAAAGGCCTGGCTCTAGCCCTGCTACTAGTCCAGGGAACAACTTTGAGCATGGTATATAGAGTCCTCAGGGAACTTCTTGTTCAACTCTGCTATCTGACCTCTTGCCTCAGCCCATTCCCGACTTGAGAACATTGTGTAGTTTTGAGCATAACTGTTTCTCCGCTTGGAGTGTCCTTCTGCGACTCTGTGCCTAGGTAATCCACGATCTTCTTCTGAAACTCAACTCGGGTATCTTTGTGGAATTCTTCCCTAGACCACAAAGGCTGAGTTACATGTCTGTCTTGTACATTCTCATAGCTCACTTCTATTATAGCATCTAACATATGAACCTGTAATTACCAGGCACATAATCACATACTCTGATTAATCCAAGTTCTTTCAAGAAATGGAAGCCAATTCTGGCTGATTAAAGAGTAAGGGGTATAATTAATAAAAGGATCTTGAGTAGCGCACATCCTGCTGGGAGACTGGAGAAGCAGGCCCGAATGCTAAGCTTCCAGGAACTGTTCTTTATGCCACCAGCACCACTGATGTCCAACTGAGCAGCAGGAGAAATTCTTGCTGTGGTTCACACTGTACCAAGGATGCCCTTTCTATGCCAGGAGCCTGCTCTTGCAACCACCACCACTAGTGAAAATTAGGTGCTGTCCTAGCCAGCTTTGCTCAGTAGATAGAGCATTGGCCTGTGGACTGAAGTGTCCCAGGTTCGATTCCTGTCAAGGGCATATGCCCAGGTTTTGGGTTTGATCCCCAGTACGGGGCATGCAGGAGGCAGCCGTTCAATGATTCTCTCTTATCATTGATGTTTCCATCCCTCTTTCCCACTCCCTTCCTCTCTGAAATGAACAAAAATATATTAAAAATAAAACTTAGGTGCCTCTGTGACTACCCTCACCAGCAAAATGGATTCCGGTGGACCTCATTTTTCAAGTTACTCACGTCTGAATCGAAGGATCTGATATTATGAAGCCAAGAGAAGAGATGGTTTCAGCAAGAAATGAGTGGTCCATGATGCAGGGGAAAAAATCAAAAGATAAGAATTGAAAATTGTTCATGGGATTTACCTCCAAGAGGTTCTTACTTGCCTTGGTGAGAATAGTTTACCTTTAGTTGATTAAAGGAAAACTGGATTGAAGTGAAAGGGTGTAAGATCCTATTTTTGTGTTCTCTTTAGCCTGAGGGTAGAGTCCATTGAGACTCTAGTTTACCCAGAGCTCTCTTATTAGATTTGCCACTTCGTATAAACCCATGACTGTGTCCGATCTCCTTTGCAAGGCTACAAAACAGATGCTAATGAATTAGACACAAACCCACACAAATGACAAACTTTCATAAAACTAAAAACATACAAATGAGTACCGTAAAACTAGGGACATGTGTGTAAGATTGGTGGATTGTGTCAATGTTAATATCCTGGGCAGGATACCGTGCTGCACTATATAGTGTTGTAAGATGTTGCCATTGGGAGAAACTGAGTAAAGTGCATGAGAGATTTCTGTATTATTACTTACAACTGCGTAATCTGCAATCACACCAGTAAAAATGTCCCCCGAAGTGAACTTAAAAGAAGGTATGTAAAATATTTCATTTATGCAAAATCTTTCATTAATGTACACAAGGATTGTCTCGTAGGGCTAACAGTAATTAAATATTGGGGTAGCCACTCTTTTCTGGATCATTGTTAGTTCGGAGTCCCTTTGTCGCTCTGATCCTCTTCACCATTCCTATGGCTTCCATTCCATTCACAAAGCCCCAGAATCCACAGCAGCGCTCAGGTGGGGCAGATGAAGGAGAGGAGGGAGTCCACCTCGTTTTGGACAATGAGCCGCACTGGGTGGATGCTGTCAGGCAGGGCCAGGCTGGAGGTCATTTCCCAGGCATCCACAAAGGCCACACGGAGGTCAGCAAAGGCAGCTCGGAGGAGCCGGTTCACCTGGAGGGTGAACCAGTCACTGCCATACACGGACTTGTAGCCAGTGTTGGCCAGTTTGATGACCACCAGAGTGTGGGGCTCCCGGGCCAGCAGCGCAGCCACAGCTGCCCGGATGCCTGCCAGTCGCTGCACAAAGACGGATGGAGGGAAGGTGGTGAAGTGTGCGCCCAGCCCCAGCACCACCACGGTGTGGGGGCCCCCAGCCAGGCCTCCCAGCTCCTGGACCACAGAGTGCAGGGAGGCCACTGGTGTGCGGAGGGAGCGCAGGGGCCAGCCGTGGGCCCGCCAGTGCAGCACTATGTTCCGAGTGGTCTCTACAGCCATCAGGGGCCCTGTCTGATATGTGACGTGTAGATCCACCGGCTTCAGGGCTGTAGGGAGGACAAGAGAGGACATTTAAGGGTTAATATGGGATTGTGTACCATCCTCTTGTACAAATGAAAATATTAGTCCCCACTTCCCAGGACAGAAGCATTCTGTCTTTAAAACCTAATGCACCCCTGACCCCAAGTTTCAAGGTTGCCAAGGATCTCATTACTGCCCATCCAAACACCTCTGCAGTGTGCTTTTATTTCTCTGCAGTATTTGACTTCCCTCTGCTGGGTGACCTTTTTTTCAAACCTCGGCTTGCCTTCTGTAACACTACATCACCCCATTCCCCTGCCCCTCTGGTCACTCTTTGCTCAACTATTTGCTTCATGTTTTCCTTGCACTGTGTACATGAGGCATTCCCTAAAATTCTGTCATTATTATCCACTTTTCCTTGCTATCTATATCTTAGGGGAATTCATTCATTTCTACCTCTTCAGTTTTTGACTAGGAGCTAATGGCTTTCTAAGCTTCGATTCCACACTTCCAATTTCCCAATCAATATTTTCTCTCTAATGATCCGCCTTGGCCCTGAACTTTGTACATTGCCTTGGCAAATGAATCTACCATTTCTGCACAAATCTCTCTCCACATCCTGAACCTCCCCCTACTGCCCCACACCTGTCAGCTATTGTTGTTGGTGACTTTCTAATGTTTTATTTTTTTTTCCTTAGCTTTCCATGGGGAGGCCTTTAGTCATAGCTGATACCTCTCTGTGTCTCCATCTGAAGTCAAATAACTCATCAAATCCTATTTATTATTCGTTTTTAAGGTTTCCTATGTCTAACTCCTGCATCCAACTTTAAGCTCAGTCTCTTAATAACTCTTGGCTACACGAATCTTTACAAGTACAAATTGGCACTGTTCTGGCACCTTTGTATACAATGTGAAAAAGAGACCAATGTCCTTGCCCTCATGGAGCTTACTGGAGAGAGAGAGAGAGAGAGAGAGAGAGAGAGAGAGGAGAGAGATTTCCTGTGTAGAAGGGAGGATGGAGATTTTGAGGAACTTAAAGGAGGATGGTGCTCCTGGAGCAGAATGTATGGCAAGAGGGGAGGTTAGAGATATAGGTGCAGTCTGGTCATATAGTCCTTTACCATCATGTCAATGATTTTTATCTTTGTACCAAGGAAAATTAGAGTCCATTGAAGGCGAGTAGCATGATGCAACTTACATTTTAAAAAGCTCATGCTTGCTCCTCTGTGAAAACCTGGGATGGAGGCAGGGGTACTAAGAAGTGAAATGGGAAGCCCAGTTTCAAGGACTTTTTAACAGGCCACGATGGAGAGAAGTAATGATAGAGGCAAGAGGGTGTTGTACATTAGCTCTCCAGAACTTATTCATCCTGAATCATTGAAACATATATTTTTTTATGTAGAAAGGATTAGAAAATTAATTGGAAACTAATTTCTGGTTTTAGCAATTGGGAGATAATGATACTTACTATGCTTTAGGAAGTCTGAATTATATTTTAGTGACTGGGGAAGGAGGATGGTGATCCAAAAGTTAGTGCTATATTGAATTTTTGTATGCTTGAGAGCATTAACATGGAGATATCAAATTGGTATTTGGAGTTCAGAAGGGAGGTATGGACCAGAAAGGTAAATTTGTAATTCATTATAATTACATATGGCATTGGAGCCATAGGGATGGGCAAAATCATTTAAGAAGATGATAACAAGGAAGAAAAGAAGAGGGTCCAAGAATACTTCAAAAATTTTTATTATTTAGATAATGGGTAGAGGAGAAGGAGATTGAGAAGGAAAGACCAGAAAAATAAGAGGAAAACAATTACAAGTAGTGATAGGAAAGTCAACATAATAAAATGCTTCTAGTTGAATAGGTTATATTTCTCATTTATTCAATTAAGACAAAAATCCAAACCAAACAACATAGGCTGTTGAAGCTATGAGGTTAACTTGTTCATTGTTGTTGGGCATATAAGATGGGGACTTTTGGCAATATCAAATAATTTACTTTGTATTTACTATTTGACACATACAACTACTAGGAGTCTATCCTATAGAACTACTTCAACAAATAACAAACACCGTATGATGAGTAATTCATAGTAGCATTGTTTATAATAGCAAACATTTGAAAAGGACCAGGTGTCTAGAAATAAGGAACGTTCATACAATGAGTCTTATACAGCAATAAAACAGAATGTACTGATAAAGAGATATATCCCAAATATACCAAGACGGGGGAAAGGTGTAGAATATGCTATGCTATGTGTTACCTTTTGCTAATGATGCATTGTGATACCCATCATACCCTGATGAAAACAACTGAAAAAATAATGAAAAAAAGTTTAAAAAATTATCATGAGAGAAGAAGGAAAGCATAGGAGATTAAAGAGATAGATTAGGACTGATTCTGGACTGTGGTTATTTGTGAGTAAAGATAGCAGAGATATGAAGCTCTGCTTTTGCCATTCTCAAGAATTGGTGGTGTGCTGTCTTTGGAGATTGTCATGTCATGAATTTGTCATGTCTGAATGACAAGTATGTGAATTCCCCTTGCACAATTATTAAACTTTTATTTTCTCCTGTTTAGAAAGAGAGAGTTGGTGTGAACATGGGTCAAAGTCCTTTGGCACTCAAGGAGGAAAACTTTAGTGAAATACTTTCTGCTTTTGGCTGAGGCTCTAAAAACTGCCTTGGAGCCCTAGCTGGTTTGGCTCAGTGGATAGAGCATCGCCTGTGGACTGAAGGGTCCCAGGTTCGACTCTGGTCAAGGGCACATCAAGCCGGGTGGGTGCAGGAGGCAGCCGATCAATGATTTACTCTCATCATTGATGTTACTATCTCTCTTCTCCTCTCCCTTCCTCTCTGAAATTAATAAAAAAATATTCTAAAAAACTGACTTGGATCATTTACCGATCCATAGAAGTTCACTGAAAGGCAGATGTGTATTTTTGGTGGCTTCATAGGCTGGAGCAATGGGGATTGGAACTTAATATTCACCAAGGGAGAGAACCTAGTGTAATATTCCATGTACCCGCCTAGAAACTGAAGAACTATACTCTGGGTGTGGATGTGTATTGTACTCCCAAGGATTATTTAGATGGCCCACAAAACTTCAAACCTTATTCCCGAACTGTAAGCACTCTTAGCTATCTGCCAGAAAACTCTTTTTCAGAATAAGATAACATTGCCTTAGGTCTTACGTTATACATAAAAGTATTTTGTCAAATAAACATCCAGAAAAACCATCAAATATCACAAAACATATGATGAGGCAAAACAAAACACAGCAGGGACAAGAGAAAATGGGGGTTTTGTGGGGGAGCCTATGGGACCTCCAGATACTGTAATTATCAGTTACAGATTGTAAAAAGCAATTATCCTTACTATGTTCAAGGAAATAAAAGTCTAATTTTAAAATCTCAGTAACAAACCAGAAACTAAAAAAGAGATATTGGAGATTTAAAAAAGAGTCATCTAAAAATTATGGAAGTAAAAAATACAGTAACTAAAATTTAGAATCAATGATTGGATTTAATAGCAGATTTGACACAACTGAAGAGAAAAGTATTGAATTGATACACAGATTGGGAAGAATAGTCCAGAATAAGTAAAGAGGGGAAATATGAAATGCACAGGAGAGATGACACAGAGAACAGAATGACAAAAATAAAACATAATTTAATTGGAATCCCAGAGAGAAGGGGGGAAAAATAGGAAGAGGTAATATTTAGGAATGGCTGAGAATTTCCCAGAAATATTTTTTTAAAATATATTTTATTGATTTTTTACAGAGAGGAAGGGAGAGACATAGAGAGTTAGAAACATCGATGAGAGAGAAACATCGATCAGCTGCCTCCTGCACATCTCCCACTGGGGATGTGCCCGCAACCCAGGTACATGCCCTTGACCGGAATCGAACCTGGGACCTTTCAGTCCTCAGGCCGACGCTCTATCCACTGAGCCAAACCGGTTTCGGCTTCCCAGAAATATTTAAAGATGAAATGAAGGGCATCAACCAATTGTTTCAAAGATCCCCACAAAGCCAAAGTAGAATTTGGTAAAATAAATAAATAAATAAATCCTTATCTAATCACACTTGATTGAAGATATAAGAAATTAAATGAAAAGTAAGAGAAGAGCCCTAGCCGGTTTGGCTCAGTGGATAGAGTGTTGTCCTGCAGACTGAAGGGTCCCAGGTTTGATTCCAGCCAAGGTCACATGCCCGGGTTGCGGGCTTGATCCCCAGTAGGGGGCATGCAGGAGGCAGCCAATCAATGATTCTCCCTATCATAGATGTTTCTATCTCTCTCTCCTTCTCCCTTCCTCTCTGAAATCAATAAAGAAATTTTTTTATAAAGTAAGAGAAGACAAAATTACCAATGCCAGGAATGAAATAGAGGCTATCACTACAAATATCAAAAGTATAATAAGGAAATACAACAAACAACTTTACACACATACATTTGACATCTTAGATGAAACTAACCAATTTATTGAAAATTATAAACTATTACAACTCACCTAATATGTAATAGAAAATTTGGATAGCTCTATAATCATTAAGAGAAATGTAAGCAACTTAACCAAATACAGTGTGTGCACCTTGTTTGAATTCTGATTCAAACCAAATCTAGTACAAAATGATAAACAACGCATATAGTAACCAAAGAAAGTTGATACAGACCTTAAGGAAACATCAGTTTTAGAAATAAGAAAGGTTTCTTCCTCATGATAAAAAGTTCAATTTGCCAGGAATTTGTAATGATTTTAAATAGCTATACACTAATAATATGGCATTAAGTAAATATAGCAAATTTCAAAATAAACTACATGGGAAACCAAAGTCACAATCATTCTAGAAGGTTTTTTATATCTGTCTCTCAGTAATTGGTAAAATAAGTAGACAAATGATTAATAATGATGTAAAGATTTGAATGACATGATTTTAAAACCAGTCCTCTTTAGACAATAAAGCTATCAATTGCAGATTACATATGTGTAACATTTACAAAACTGATTGTTTACTGAGC